ATCAGTTTCTAGATGTGTTTCTTCTTTCTTACAAAAATAAAGCTGAGAGAAAATAAAGTGTAGTTTCTAAACTTTTTCTCAATAGATGAATCCCTTTGGGTATGATTGAGTGTTGTGTAGTTTGTTTATTAGCTGTTAACTTAGAGTAGTGTAATGTTTTTTACGGCTTCTCTTTTTCAAAGAAATTATCAAAAAAAGAAATTTTTTAAAAAAAAGGGGATCAGTAAAATTACTATCATTTATATTAATGATTAATACCTATTTTTTGAATTATATTTTTTATAAACATATATTTGCATAAATCTTTGGTAATTAAAATTAATGCAATGAACTATAAATCTAAGACTTAAAATATGAGAATATTTTTTGTAAAGAATTTTTCGATCAATATGAACATCTGATGCATTATAGCAATCAATTTTTCTTAAGAATTTCTTTACCAAGAAATGTATCAACATGATGAGGAATTGTTGAATAATTTTTAATTAATCAATAATTGTAAATGGTAGGATTTGTCCATTCATTAAGTGCAATAGTAAGATTAATTTCTTTATCAAGAATTTATTTAATCTTAAAATATTAACTCTAGCAAGCTCTTGATCCAAAAGAGTATTAGATAAAACCCAATGGCTTGGAAGAGAATAAGTAGCATGTAATGTCCTAAAATTCGTGAAAAAAGGAATGCTCAACAAGGGAAAAGGGTAAGTTACAACATACAAACATTTTTACTAATATTTTGATAATTTGATCTTTACTTAACGAAGTTGGAAATTTTTCATAATTTTCATCAATTTTAATAGATGATTTTCGCTTTTTAGTTGATGTTGAAGTACTATCACAATCCGAATCAATAGAATTATCTGTTAATAATATTAAAACTTTAATTCTAATATCGGATCAACTTTATGACATTCATGTACAAGATGTTTTTTGAGTTTATTTGGTTTAGCGATAGTCCAATGATAATATCCTTTGGAAACTTCATTTCCTTTTGTAAACCAATTTCATATTTTACTAGCTGGACGTTCACCCGTTTTTTTTTTAATATTAGGAAAATATTCGTTAAAAAATGACATTTTTCATAGAAAAGTAAAAATGATTTGAGTTATTTAAATAAATTTATTTATTTATTATTACCTTTATAAAGACTTCAATAATGATTTCGACGTTTAAAAATAAGTTTTGTTTCTTTATAAAGACTTTAATCAGAGGATTTCGGTTAAACGTATACGTAGTTTACTTGTATTGCCCATTGAACAGGTGTTTCATTCTGTTTTATGGTAAATAAAATGTCTCATTATCGAAAACTTAAATGAGACGAGTTCATTTTAGTATAAGTTCAACAATTAATACTATATTATGAAATAATGCGATTTGAAATAACCATGATCACGTGATCTGGGCCAAGCTCGCTAAAATTTTGCCAAGGCGAAGCCCATTGTCCCACAGTAAAAACTTTTAATAAATCATGATGTAGCCATTATTGTACTATAATTCATATATTTATTGCTAAGCAAACCCAAGAGGGCGCTATTAATAATTCTTCTTTTACAGTGAAATGTTTCATAATTAACATCTTCGACATCCAGAATAAAGGAATTAATGGCACTACGGAACAAAATTGCAATTTATTATGATAATCCCCACGAACATAACCTCACATGCATGAATACTTACCGTTGAAACTCCAAAGCATTTCCGAGTTTAAACAACTCTTCTTCGACTATTTTCCCTGATGAAAGTTTCCACATATAACTTTTGTCCATCGCCCTATAGGCTTTCTCAACCTCCATTCGATTTTCATCACGCGCCCCCTTCTAGAGTAGATGTGGTGAGAATAGTAAATATTTACACATGCCAGATATGATTTGTACCCAAATCCAAATCGGCATCATCTTGTAATTCATGATCGACCTAATAAAGATTTTCACAATTAGCAATTATCTGAATAGTAATAATTGAGCATTGTGTGGATATTACCTCGCCCTTCTCGTTGTCCATTTCGTCAGAAATATCTTATTCAATTTCAAATTTCCGCAAATCAGATTGGATGATTGTCGTTCGGAAGGACTTTGGAAGTAGTTGTCGATCTCATTATTTAAATCCTACATAAAAATAAGGGATAACATTAAAATAGATTTGCAATTTAAGCATTACCCATTTCTACTGATTCTCACAAACGTTAGCTAACAAAATTCATCTGCACCTCTACCCGATCTCTTTTTGACTTAGATGATTCGGATGATCCGGCAACGAACGTACTGCCGGCTATAGTCCCGTTGACAGTCCCATATATGGACCCATGTATGGATCCATAATCAAAATAGGTCGGTTTATGGATGTGAACTTGCTTGCTCGCAAGTTCGCGATCGGATCGAGGTTCCTTAGAAATAAAAATTCGAATATTCAGCACTATTCCTAACTACCATGTCTTAATTTACATCCGATTTCCAATCCCATCCGAACGTCAGGCAAGCTAATTGGTTTCCTGCGCCCAATGGGTCCAATGCTGGAAAGGCTAATTGACTTGAAGCATCAGGCAAGCTAATTGGTTTCCTGTGCCCCAACATTGGTTTGTGGCTCGGCTAATTGACTCAAATGGCAAAGAAGCTAGTTGGTTCCTTGCCACGCCACTTGCTCAACTATATGCTTTAAAGAAAAAAATATATTTACTTCCCTTGCTATAATAATTGTTAAGGAGAAACTGGTTTCCTCATGATTAATGATGTTAGCCTATTTTTAACCGGCTAAAAAAATCTAAATAACCGTTTATTTTGTCACCTGACATTTGTCTAATGATAGACGAATGATCACATGATACTTAAATTTATTATTATTATGTGCGCTTTTTCTTCTAATATAAACTACATATAAAGACCGGCCGTCTAAGTAAAAAATAGTAGCAGGATGTTTTAAGGAAGGACGATAAAGCACTCGAACAATGTGTGAATGAACTAACGTTAAGACTTTCGAATTTGGAGACGTTGCAAGACAGTGCTAATCAAGCAACATCCATATTAAACGCATCCCCCGAAGGGTCACCGAAGAAGAAAAAAATATACATCTCTTATCAAAGAGCTGTTTCAGGTGAGATGTCCGGACGTGTTGACTATGCTATCGAAGGAAAAGAGGATCTTGTATGCATAGTTTAAGGAAAGTCACGTAATTTTGAAATTGGGTACCTCCGAAATACAAAAAAATTGGAGCGCGAGTCATATTCAAAATGATGATGATTATCTCTACGGGATAGTTTCTACGGGTATTATTAATCTTATAAAAAATTTGTCGTGGATTTTCTGGCGTTACCCTATCTTCGGTTGATTGATTATCTTTTTTCTAGCTACAGAATGACATTTTATTAAACTTGCTACAGAAGGGCTATATTGTAGCAGCAAAAGCGAATATCGGATTAATTTATCCAAAATGGCATTGAAGGAGGATCTTGAATCGATTAAAACAGTAATTGGAGTGATCGCGAGGTTATTGAGAGATAGGATTTTAATGTGTGATGTCATGAAATTAAGAAACGTCGTATCCATCAAGAAAATCAAAAAATAAATATATTTTTTAACTGTATTTTCATTATTATATAACGTAATGGGCATCCAAGTACCTTATATTTTATTTGTAACAATAAAGCAAATAGATTTTTTTTTCTTGCACAAATTTTGCTGTATTAATAATGCTAGCTCCGGTAGCTGATTTGTTTCTCGGAACCAACACTATATGAGAATTTTATGTAACTTTGATGGTTCCCCGAGGGAACGGTTTTGGAGTTATATTTTTGTCATCTTGATATTATACAGTATATCATGTGCCAGAGACGCTGGCGAAGCTATTAACATTTACCATTTGCGAGAGTGAGATTTTGTGGTCTTCGATTTTACCAAATCAGTGGACGATCCTCTCGCTATTGAGTAGACACGTATACCCAAATTGGAACTCATAAGATTAAATTTTCAGTGATTGCGTAATATTTGCAATAAGTAAATGCGTGTATTGAATATTTATAAGCATTGGATGAGCTAATAAAATTACATGGCAAAATTTATAAATCAAATTATTCTTTTGCTTTTCTTTTACGAGTTATGCGACCGTGTTCATAAATGGAATGGTCCATGGAATGCGTTGATACTCGTCGGCTTCGGTACAATCTTGCCTTTTCGGTTAATATTTCATCACGGATCTTTCATATACGATGCAAAGTTTCCTATATAAAAAAAAAAACGACGATTAACAATTTACAAAAATGTAATTACTGAATAAATAACGATACCCTACCTCAACACGCATCAAAGATATGATAAGTTTCTCTATAATTTGCAACTTATCAATCGATAAGGGTAGCTTAACTTTTTGAAGCAAACCTAGACGCCAAACGCCTCTTGTTTTCCAATCCAATCTGTATATGTCATAATTATAATCTAAAATCAAATAGATCGTGTCATGTAATAGGAATGTACCGAAAAAATTTAAAATTATTGAACTTACTAAATGTGTGTACTCCGAGAGTAAAGAGTTTATGAAATTTGTTTGGATCTACACCATTGTTTTCTATTCCTTCGTTTATCAAAACATCCCGCAACGCAACCGCTAAATCAACCTTGTCCATCCATTTTTTACTTTTTGGTGCTGAGGGAAGACCACAGGATCTAACCCAATTAACATTTCAAATTGATCTTCGCTGATTCTAAAATCTACCTTTTGCCCAATTAAGCTTCTGTCAGTGGGCTTGGTTTTCATGTTGGTGAAGCAAGACCTTGAATCTCGCAAATTAATAGATGAATCAAATTGAAAAATTCATAAACAACAAATAGCCAATAAAAAACCTACTCTTCATAATGATAAATTTGGTCAAAAGTTAATATCCCTCTAGTAATAATATTCGTGAAATTGCTACTAAATGAGAATTCAGACATTGGCTAACGTAAACGTTGCAGATTATACGCACTAATTTAATTTAAAATTGTTAATAATTATGACTATAGGCAAAAAGCTTACTATGTCTGAATGAGTCGTCTAATTACATTTACTTTCATATTGCCCTATAAATGGCGATCATTAGTTCCGCACTTCCATAAGAAACCAATACAAGTGATATACGTACTTCAATCACACAGTTTTCAATGCTGATAATTAGATCAGAAGGTTTCTTCCTCAATACCTAACGTAGAAGACAGAGAATGGTTTAATTAGTCAATAAATTAAATGAAAGTTAATTAATATAAATTTGCTAACCTCGGCGATTTTGTCCATCAGCTCATATAGAGGCCTCTCTTGTTCGTCTTCCAAACCGTTTAAATTAGCGTTGCTTTTAAAATCTTGGTTCATTTCATTCCATTCTTCATCTGTAAACAAATTTTTAACTTCAACATCCTCTCCGAAAAGATCTAGTATCCCAAAGTAGGCCGGACTAAAAATAGCAATATAAGAATTTAAGAAATTGATACTAAAATGGTATGTTTATGCTTGCAAAATAAAGTATAACTCACTATATATATGCCTTTGTTCTGGGAATCCTTTCACGGTATTTCGATAACACTTCATCATTAAAAGACAATATTATTATATCAACCGTGTCATTTGGAATTTCTTCTTCGATGTACTCGTCATGATCAGATACAGTATATATTCATAATCTTGATGCTCTTCAAGATTATCAGATTCGTTATCTGACTGTGAGGTTGTGCTTCCTTGTTTCGATTCTTTATCGTAGACATTTTCAGGCTGTTGCTTATTTTCAAAAACATTAAAGAGTTAAAAACGCATTTGTTTGGAATGTACCATTAAATAATTACTAACCTAACCTCATTATCTTGAATAACATTTTCTTCTTCACTCATATCTGGACTTGATGTTTCATCAGAAAATCCACGGTGATTTTAAATATTCCTCCCATTTTTGTATTTCTTTGTCCGATATTTGCGATCGTCCTAAAACGTTAAAACAAATAATTAGCTAAGCTGATTCATCCTTAACTACTAATTAAAAAATGCTCATAGGTACCATTTCCTGATTCCTTTTCTTGGATGTGAATATTTCGCAATTGTTTATTCCGCCACTTTTAGTCCCATTTATAGTTCCAATCGAGTTAACGTTAATTGAATGGCCCGACATTCTCTTTGCCTAATTTACGTGCTTTCTCCCATTTTTTAGAAACTTTGCGACCTCCCTTGAAGCGAAATATTAGATGAATTAATGTCCTTGGATGGTATTTTACGTTTTTAATATGCCCACCGGTCAGCTAAAAACCTTAAGCACTGGGAACCGAGAAAGCCCCACGTGCCCCGGTGGGACCGATGTTAGATCAGCTAGAAACTTTGTACGTGGAGGAACCGGGAAAGCCCTCACATGTCTAACACCGGTTTCGTGACTCGGCTAGAAACCTTTTGACAGGAACCTAGAAAGCTCCTGTCATGTCACTCACAATTCGTTTCTAACAGTAAGCGAATGTTACTCGCCTTTCTATAGCTTTCAAGAAGTTCTCTTGCTCTTCCCTGTCGGGCGCCTTGCTCTTGGTTATCAATGCTTTCGAGTGATTTTATGTATGCATCTATTTTGATGTCAAAGGCAAAAAGCCAGTTGGAAGGATTTTAATTTCCTACATATTACGCGTTTCTGATGGTCAATAATATAATTGAAAATTCGTGTGCATAACACGTGACATAAAATATTTAAATCTCTGTGTAGATCGGATGTGCACTGTTTCACGAGAAATTTATTGCTAATAGTGTAGTGCTATTGCAATCAATAAAGCAATTGCGCATTAGCGCAATTTTTCTCACATTATTTTTATGTGATTAAACTTTTGAGTTTTATGTAAAAAAATGACGAATGTACTCTCCAAAATCGATTTATTAGAGGAACAGATATCTGAGCTTATAACTGAGAATGACAAACTTAATGCTGAGATTACAATAATGGATAAGAACAGTCCACAAGAAAGTACGGAGAACGCGAAATTAAGTGACACCGAACTCAATGAAGGGAATAATTATAGAGCTTAGATCAAAGATAGCAAAACTAGAATGCATTATTGAGGAAAGCGGACTCAAATTACCCTGCTCCGAAGAGAATTGTAACAAACCCAGTATTAATGTACAGGATAAACCTCCTACAGAAGAAATTCCGCCCACATCATCAAAATCCCCATATTGATAACAATGAGATTAGAGAAAGAAATCAGGAAAAAGAAGTTTCAACGAGAATCAGCTATCCAGTATCACACAGTAGTACAGAAACCATTAATTCAGGAAATGGTCAAACTGAAGTAACCGAATTAGAGCACGGTTATGAGTGTGATAAAAATCAAATTGTAGAAAGAGGTTTATAGAAGAATTATATTTATCTGCTGAAAATCAAGATCACATTTATTCTGCAATAGATAATATCAGCTCTACTGAAATTAAAATATCTTGCAATATATCAGAAAATAAAAGTTCATCTCAACATCTATCTTATTTATTTAAAATAGCAATTAAATTTGATTAACAAGAAATCTTAAACTGGTATTATTATTCTCTTGAATCAAAAACAGGATACGCACTATTGCAACAGATAGTAAGATCAGAGATAAAATAGTAGAAATAATTATTTATTTCTAATATTACTCAAAATAACGTGTGTAAAAAACTCTTAAAGCTAGAAAAATTCTTGTACTATTTGAAAAAAATAAAGTTGAAATTGATAAAATTATCCTAATTATATATAGTATAAATGATTTCAAATTAATATATAAGCTCAAAATATTATAAATCAAATAAAATCAAAATTTAATTTCTTAAGAAATAATTAAATTAAAAAAACTTTATCAAAAATAAAAATAAGTACTATAATTATTCTTTTTATTCTATTGTTTTATATTTCTAGTTATTCAAAGATAAAATAATCAAAAAATCAAATTATTATTAAAATTTAAATCAAGATAAATATATTTATCAAACTTTATATTTTTGACTTATTAATCAAAATTATTTCAAAAAAAAAATTTTTTATTAATTGATTATAAAACATTTAACTTCATAGAAATAAAAATATCATTTAATTCAATTTATAATTATATTTATTTTATGATAAGAAATTATTATAATTAATACAAATAATATTTGTTGTATTTTAATTTTTTTTAAATATTGTCTAAATTAATTAATAGTAATAAATATTAATTTATTATAATTTTTTTTAAATATTGTCTAAATTAATTAATAGTAATAAATATTAATTTATTATTATTAATTCAAGAGTTATTTACTTTATAAAAGATTCTTACTATTTTTAAAATTTATTTTATAAAAATAATCAGAGAATAAATTTTTTTACTATAATAAATTTTTTAAAAAATAATTAATTAAAGATTTTTGATAATATTTTTTTGAGAGGGCTGGCTCAGCCTCCAGTTGGTCTTTATTAAAACTTTTACTTTGATATTACATTGTATTATTTATTTTAAAGTTTACTAAACTTCACAAACTATACTAGTATATATGTTAAAAATTTAAAAAAAGATATCTCCTGGTTCAGATCTCCTGTGAACCTCTGTGGCCTGTTGTCCCCTTTCGGAAAACTAACTTGCCTAGGCTGAGTTAATGCTATTTTCCTTATTTTTTAAATTGAATAGGAAATTGAAAGTTGTCTATTTTTTCTAATTAAGATTAACTGATACTTTCAGCCTTCTGATAGGACCCCTTGTTATATTTTGACTCTACTTGCCCTTTGTTTTCTTATCAGTTCTTATTATTCCTTGTGATGTTTTCTATTTGACTAGAACTTCACATCACTATTTTCAAATTGCTCTTGTGATTTCCTGGATTGCTTCGATGCATTCCATAAGGATTTATTTGACTTTCTTTTTGAAAATCCTTACCCAACAAAAGATCATTTTAACTATGTCATTAGGGATTAAGCTTTTAACCAATATCTGAATCCAGAGGTTAATTTTCTTTTCTTTAACCTTCTTGACCCATTCTTGAACCCAAAATCTACTTTGTTTCTTTTTACTTTGGAGAAAGAGCACTATTGTTTCTACTATATGTTTACTGAAGTCAAAGTCATTCTATTTGCATATACACTATATGAACAAAAGTATCGCACATCTTAAATTTATTATTATATAAAAATGTACATAATAACTTTATTTAAAATTTTAATA